TCGGTCTCATATGATATGTTCTGCTCAGCGGCACAGCGTTATGATATGATATGGATTGTCAGTCAAGGTAGATGATGTGGTGCTCTTGTCTGTCATACTGTTCAGTGCTCAGTCCGTTGTTGTATATGACGATCTGCTCTGGTATGACATGCCCGTTCCATGAAGTTGTAGCCAACCATACTACATCGTAATCATTGGCTTAGGGGTAGCAGTAGTACAATAACTCTGTTATGTCATACTGTTTACGGTAGGCTCTAATTGTCAGTCTATGACGATGTGATCATGTTCTCTTATGTCGTGCTCTATTATGTCTGTTCTGTTCTCGACGGGCCAGCGTGACGCCGTGTCGCCTGTCACGATAGATACGTCGTCCGATCGACCGTTGTTGCGCCTCTTTGCTCCTGTGGCCAGCCTGACCACCTGATTATATTGTAGCACAATATATTATGGTGTGACGTCCCTATTCCCATATGCTTCTCTTATGTTGAAGTATGCTCTGTTATGCTCACTTATGTGGCAACATGTTCTGACGTGTGTATACATATCTCTGCCTGTGTATTATTATGCTCTGCTCTGTGGCACCGTGTTCTGGCATGATCTGTTCTGTCAGAGTATACATATAACGGCGCACCGGGGCCTGGGCCCCCGGGGCTGCGTCCTCTACCGCAACTGTGTGTGCATAGGCCCTTGGGGGGCCCAGAGACCCACAAAACGCCACCAGAAAGAGCCAAGAGAGCCCGAAGACGCTCCAAGAGGGACCCGAGACACCCACAGGCTGCTCCAAGACGCAGGCCGCTCCGAGACGCACAAGATGGCCCCCAAGACACCCCAAGAGGCCTCCCAGACGCCCCAAGAAACTCCCAGAGGCCCCCCAGGAGGGCCCCAAGCGGCAAAATTCGCTCAATTCTCTTAAGGAAACGTTTATTTTTCGCATATATGCCTCTTTGGTTTTCACAGCGTCCACGACGAGACCCACAAGACCAGAGGCTCCCAACAGGGCTCCAAGACGACCCAAGAGGCTCCCAAGACGTCCCGAGAGGCCCCCAAGAGAGCCCCAGGACGAGCCCCAGAGGGGTCCCAGAGGTGGGAAACCATCTTCAAATCCCGAGCCTTCGGCCCCAGAGGCTCCCAGGAGGCCCCAAGAGGTCCCCAGGAGGCCCCAAGAAGCCCCCAAGAGGCCCCAAGAGGCCCCCAAGAGACCCCCAATAGGGATACACGTATACTTATTGACTCGCTTCGCTCATTCCGCCGGCCCGTGTTGTGCCATGGGCGGCGTTTCTCTGCGTGTTGGTGGGGCGCGCGGCGTTGCTCGGCTGTGGTCGCGTCCTGGGGGCATTGGGGGGGCCTCCTGGGACCGCTCGGGGGCCTCTTCGGGGCGTCTTGGGGGCCTCCTGAGGGCTCTTGGGGGCCTCTTGGGGCCTCGTAGGGGCCTCTTGGGGCGTCCTGGGGGCCTCTCAGGACCGAGGGCTCGAAATGTTGTTTCGTGCTCCCCCCCTGGGGCCGCTCTTGGGGCGCTCTAGGGGCCCTCTTGGGCCGTCTTGGAGGCCTCTTGGGCCGTCTTGGGGGGGCCTTTGGGGGCGTCGGGAAGCCGAAAAGGTGGAAAAACATAAATCTTTCCAAAACCTAAGGAAGAGCAATGAATTTTGCATATTGGGGCCCTCTTGAGAGTGCTCTTGGAGGCCTCTTGGGGTCTTGGGGCGTCTGGGGGCTATCTTGGGCGTCTTGGAGCGATCTTGTGGCATCTTCGAACCCTCTTGTATCATCTTGGGGGCCTCTTGGAGGCATCTTGACCCTTCTTGGAGCTCTCTGGAGGGTCTCGAGGGCGGCGCCCAGACGGAAAACCATCTCTGATCCGACCCTGCCGGGGTACTTTTCCTCTGGGGACCCCCAGGGGCCGCCCCCCGCGCGCGAAGTAGAAATATTGTAAAGCGGTTACAGAAGATCTTAGCACGCCTCTGGCCCGTTGGGCCGGCGAATTATGTATCTATCGGGGTACCAGGTGCGGGGGCCTTCCCCAGCTGCCCCCAGTCGCCATGGTGGCTTCAGGTCCCCCGGAGAGTCCCGGCCGTGCCGCGAACCTGCCTAGAGAGCCCCAGGACGAGTCTGGAGTGCCCCCAGCGGCCCCCAACACGTCCCCAGAGGCCCCCGAAACGACCAAGATGAGCCCAAGACGGCCCAAGCGGCCGCCAAGACGCTCCAAGAAGTTTTCAAGAGGTCTCCCCACAGGACCCCGAGGAGGGAGAATTGTTAATTTTCCCTTTTGTGTTCCGATGTTTTTGGCTGTCTCGCTCTTTCGCCTTCCCGACGCTCCAAGACGGCCCAAGAGGCCCGCCAGGTCACCCCAAGATGGCCCAAGAGGCCCCAAAGGCGCTCCCCAGACGGCCCAAGAGACACCCAAGACAGCCCAAGAGGACTCCAAGGCGGCCCCAAGAGGTGCCCTAGAGGACGACCAAACATTCAAAATCCAGTTTTCCGCCCCGAGAGCGCCCCAGGAGGCTCCAAGAGGGCCCGAAGAGGTCCCCAGAGGCCTTCAAGAGTCCCCAAGGAGATCCGAAGAGGAGGCTTCCGAAATATTCTAAGAGACGACAAATACAGGCCCCCACAGACCCCCAAGAGCCCTCATGGAGCCTTCAGGCCAACACAAGCCGAGGAGGCCCCGCTCCACCCGCGCGAGGCCTTTCTTCGCCCCCATGTTCCGGACAAGGCTTTCCGAAACATGGGAAAGGGACCGTGCGTCGCCGACATCGACGACGGTGGTCGCGCAAGAGAGCAGGGGTCCAGGGTACAGGGTGCGAGAGAAAAGGGCGCAGGAGCGCATGAGAATGATCAGAGGCCCCCCCCATGTTCCAGAAGCGCGCTTCCGGAACATGGGATGGAAGAAGACCCCGCCGCCCTCGTGGCAAGAACCCTGACCCCCCTCAGCGCCCAGGCCGTGCCCACAACTAGAACCTGAGCGCGCGCGAAGCGCGCGCGAAGGTTCTAGTGTGTAACATTATGCTAGTTATGTGATGCTGCTTGCGTTACGTCGTGCCATGTTCAGTATGTGATTATACGCGTTCTTCTCTCAATCTATCTCCCTGCAATATAACACATGTTATGATGATGCAGTACATTCGTTCCAGTCGTTGCGCTGCTATGTTGAATTCTGCCCGATGCTGCGTTATATCATTAGTTGCTCCGTCATGCCATGTTATGCGATGCTCTGTTATGCAATGCTACGATGTGCTATTTCATAACATGTTATACCGCGCGATGTCGTGATATGCGTCGTTGTATTATGGCATGCTATGGTATGTGATGTTGTGGTATGATGTGATTTGTTGTGCCATGGCATGTTGTAGTATGATATGTTATGGTATGCTCGTTTGTACGTCGTTATGTCATCGCATGATATGGCATGCCATGGTCAGCAATGTTATGTTATGCTTGCCCGTGTAAAATTATGGTATGGATGATTGGCTCTGTCATTGCATGCGTTTGCGGGTTGTGTTATGTACTGTTGTGTTCCGACATGTTATGCTATGCTCTAGTTTGTAGTGCTGAGATGTCATGTTTTGTTCTGTTATGTAAAGCATGTTATGCAGTGCTCTGGTATTGCGTGCGTTGTCATGATATGTTATGTTCGGACATGAGATTGTATGCTATGCTACGCTACGGCAATGCGATGCAATGAAACGGTGTGATGTGTTGTGCTATGCTATCTTATGTATGCTACGCTGTGGTATTGCATGCGTTGCCAATATGTGTTATACTAGGATATGTGATGTTATGACGTGTTATGTACGGTGAGCTCTGTCATTGCATGCTTCGCTATTCGAACGTAGTGTTATAGTAAGCTCAATGCTGTGATGCTGCGCAATCGTGTGCTCTGCTATGCCATGTTGTATTATGTAATGCTCTGCTCTATCCTGTTATGTTATGCTTGATTCTGTCAGGCTCTGTCGTGCTTGTCGTCGGCGCGAGGCAGGCGTTTCGGAGGATACTCGGTGGACCTTGGGATCTGGCGGCCGCGGCATGCAGAAGACTGGCCGGGTCGGCGCGAGACGGGCGTCTCGGGGGATTCTCGGTGGACCTGGGGATCTGGCGGCCGCGGTATGCTGGGAGGTCTGTTTGTAAAATCTAACGACCCCAGCTGGTCAGGTGGGGAACAAAGCAAAAGGAGGGAGGGGGATCGAGGGTCGAGAGCGTTGGGCTTCTATTGGCCCCCTTGGGGCCTCTCTGGGGACCCCCGAGACCTACAGAGATCTCAAGAGTATGAGGAGGAGGAGGAGGAGGAGGCGGAGGAGGAGGAGGAGACGACTTTTGTTTTATCGAGCGCTGCGCTCGGAGCAGTTGTGTTCTGGGATCGCTGCCACCAAGACGCGACAGCAAGCCAACGCTTGTCCAACGCAGAAAGGAGGAGGAGGAAGGGGAGGAGGAGGAGGAGGAGGAGGAGGAGGAGGAGGAGGAGGAGGAGGAGGAGGAGGAGGAGGCTGAGGGAGGGGGAGGAGGGAGGCAGAGGAGGAGAGGAAGGAGGATGGGAGGAGGAGGGGAGGAGGAGAGGTAGGAGGAGGAGGAGGAGGAGGAGGAGGAGGAGGAGGCCGTCGCCGTCGCTGTTGTCGTCGACGTCGCCGTCGCAGCCGCCATCGTCGTCGTTGTCCCCTGGGATCTTCGGGCGCTGCACATTTGCGCGTTTTCCCGCCTCGTATTCGGGCCCTGGGGGTCGTCGCAGATCGGTCCAGCTCGAGAAGTGTCGGACAAAGATGGGGTCTGGGTTCTTTGGCCGTGATTTCTTGCGATTCAAATGGCGAGAATAATTAAGCACTATTAAGCAACACTCACGCGTAACAGATGGCTTGAACTCCCCCCCCCTCCCCCCGAATGCAGTGTTGGTGTCGGATCTTCCGAGTTCGGGTGTCCGAGCGGTGATGCGTCACTGTGCCGATTCTGAATTGCAACCGTCGCAAGCGTTGTTTCGCAACGTCGGATCTCAGGGTCGTCGCGTGGGGTTTGCGCCCCAGGCCGCGAGCAGCGGCAGGAAGGAGACGAACATGATCTTCACATCCGTGTTCGCATGCATGTTCGTCGGCTTCTCGGTCTTCAGCATCGGCGACCAGCGGTGCACAGAAAAGGGGGGCAGTCGGTCGTCATCAATGAAAGGGGCCCTCAGGAACACGGGTCGTGAGTTGGTCGCTGCTTCCGGGCTCTTGGGGCCCTCCCTGGACCACGGGACCGGGAATCAGCTTCTCGGGATGAAGAGTCGGTCCCGGGGAAAATGCTTGATATCCAGGCCCATCAGAACACCCGTACTTCATCACGCCAGAGGACAGTGCAAGCCTCGAGATCCAGGCCCATCAGAGCACCTCTATCTCACCACGCCAGAGGGCATTCAAAGCCAGGACCTTGCAGGATACGGTTAAGTCGGGCCTGTCCCCCTACAGGGGGATTTTCGACGAAAAATAAAACATACCCAACAAATAATCCAAAAAGAGTCCAAACACAGTCTGGGGACTATGTTTTGAGTATTTGTTTAACCTTTTTGGGGGTATTTTGGGGGTATTTATTTTTTCTCGCCCGACCTAAGGCTACGGCGCGAGGCACGAAGGACGGCTGAAGTCTCGGCCCATGGCTGCAGCTTTCTCGGGCGTGTCCTCCTCCTCCTCCTCCTCCTCCTCCTCCTCCTCCTCCTCCTCCTCCTCCTCCTCCTCCTCCCCCTTCCTCTGCCTCTCCTCCTCCTCCTCCTCCTCCTCCTCCTCCTCCTCAGCCTCCTTCTCCTCCTCCTCCTCCTTTTCCTCCTCACCCCCGTTCACGGGGCCGTGAGGCCTCCACGACGACGCCGTCGTCGGCGTCGGTCTGCACGGCAGGGCTCGAGCGAAACGGTGTTTTGGCAATCTCGTGGACCGTTTTCGTTTCGGCTTCGTTCTGCAGCCGACGTGGAGCGAGGACAGAACTGGGGATGGCGAAAGTAGAACGAGAACGGAGAGCACTGTTTAACTCGAGCCCTGCTGCACGGGGCTTCGGTGTTCCCGGAGGCTCTCGTCGCCACTGCCGGAAACGGCTCGGCAATCTGGTCAGGACGAGCCCTCTGGCATCGCTCGGACGCGTGCATTTTTTCAGCGAGGAGGGAGGAGGAGGAGGAGGAGGAGGAGGAGGAGGAGGAGGAGGAGGCAGAGGAAGGGGGAGGAGGAGGAGAAGGAGGAGGAGGAGGAAGAGGAGGTGGAGGAGGAGGAGGAGAGGAGAGGGGAGGAGGAGGAGGAGGAGGAGAGGAGGAGGAGGAGGTAGGAGGAGAGAGGAGAGGAGGAGCAGGAGGAGTAGGAGGAGGAGGAGGAGGAGGAGGAGGAGGAGGAGGACGGCCAGGGGAGGGGCCCCAATATTGGCTTGGAGCGGATCTCTGTCCAGAGTAGGGCGAGGAGGGGCGCGGCCTGTTCTGGAGAATGCGGACGGCTGCCCAGATCGGCCCCGCCTCTTCTGTGGAGTGGGAGGGCTCTCAGGAGGCGGGGCACCTTCGTGGCAAGGGACCCCTCCTCGCCGCAGCCCCTGGCCAAGCTCCGTTCGAGACTGGTCCCCAGGTCCGTCCAGCCGTAATTAGCCGCCAGAGCTTCCAGAAGCGTCCAGGAGCCTTCCAAGAAGGCTGGCAGCGGAAGACGCCCGTTTCGCCCGAAACGGTTTCGCTCGCGACCGTGTCTCCCGCGGGCGAAACCGTCACCGGGCGAAACCGTCGCCGAGCGAAACCGTCACCAGGCGAAGTGTGCTCGGGCGAAGCGTCCCATGGCGAAGCCGTTCCGGGCGAGCGAAGCCGACCGGGCAAAACCGTTCTGGGCGAAATCGTCCTCAATCGTCTCTGGCGAAATCGACCTGGAGACACCGACCGGGCGAGATCGACCGGGCGAACTCGACCCCAGACCCCCGACGTCATGATTTTTTCATGACGTCGACCCCCCGAGGACTCGACCCATTCCCCGGGACCGGTTTTTCGTCCTGAGTCGTTTTTTGACGGTCCCGAGGGCCAGTAAGGGCCCCCAAAGGCCAAAAACAATGAAAAACCTCCCGTCGCAATTTTTTCATAACTCGAGGAGGTCTGGGACTGCAGGGCGAAACCGTCCCAGGCGAGACGGACGGCGAAACCGTCCAGGGCGAGACGAACCGGGCGAAGCCGTTGCGGGCGAAACCGACCAGGCAAAACCGTCCTTGGAGAGATCGTCCCGAATCGTCCCAGGCGAAACCGACCAGGAGACACCGATCGAGCGAAACAGTTGTTCCTTCCCTTCTCGGAAGGCCGAAGAGCCAGGCTTCTGGTTGACGCAGGCAGCTAAGCTGTCAGCGCTCATCGCGCTGAGCCCGCTTGACATCTTCTGGCGGTTTGGGCGTTGTGCACATCGATGCTTCACGCATTCGGAACCAGAGGTGGCTTTCGTGACAGCGTCGGCCTGCCCCGTGTGATTCGTTGTGGCAGGTCCTGATGAGGATCGCCAGCCACACGCCGAAATGCTGAAGACGGACAGGTCCAGGGGTGCCCGAGAAAGTGGGCATGTTCACTCCTAAACCAAATTAAGGTGCTCGACAAGGGCTTCAAGGCGGGTGCACATTATAACTTGTATCTTGCAGTGATGTGGAGATGTTTGGCAAACGTCTGAAACCGACCAGGCGAAACCGTCCCGGGCGAAACCGTCTCCGGCGAAACCGTCCCGGGCGAAACTGTCCCGCGCGAAACCGTCCTGTGCGAAACCGTTCCGGACGAGACCGCCCCGGACGAAACCATCTTGGGCGAGACCGACTGGCCGAAATTGTCCTGGGCGAGAGCGTCCAGGCGAAACCGTCCCGGGCGAAACCGTTCCGGGCTAAACCGTCCTGGGCGGAACCCTCCCAGGCGAAACCGTAACCGGGCGAAACGGATAGGGCGAAACAGTCATTGAGCGACGGGGGCCTTTTCCCCTGGCAAGGGAACCCCCCTCGCCCCACCCCCATGGCGAAGCTCTGGTCGAGACTGATCTCCAGATCAGTCGAGCCGTAGCCAGCCAGAGCTTCCAGAAGCGCCCAGAAGCGTTCCAAGGCGATTTTCAGCTTCGAGTTGCAGCCATGAAGACCCTCGTGTGAGTCAGAGCTCTGCAGGATTTTAGGGGCTACGGCCTCACGCGCCTTGCCCCAACAGGCACAGGCTCACGCGCTTCGCCGCATGAGCCTGCACCAGCGCCTGGCTCGCTCGCTCGCAGACGCTCTCCAAGACAACGACGACGACGACGACGACGACGACGACGACGACGACGACGACGACGACGACGACGACGACGACGACGTCGACGTGTGCCGGCAGCCAAAGGCGACTTCAACAAGCTCTGGTCCGTCCTGACCAGCATGGCCTCCCCCGCCGCCGCAGCGGCATCTAAGGGCGGGGAGAAGGCTCGCAAGAACGACCCGAAGCACGGCCCTCTTCCGGAAGGCGGCGGCATTCTCTCTTCCCCCCCCAAAGCACCAGAAATTTGCAGAAAGGAAGGCCGACCACCCGAATAGAGGTTTTTGATCCTCTGGGCCGCCCACCCGCCCTACCCCACACCCTTCTCCCCTCCCTCCTTCCTCATGGCCTCCTTCCTCCCCCCCCCATCCTTCTTCTCGTCACTCCCCCTCCTCCCCGTCCCCGTACTTGCCCTCGTCCTTGCCTCCCCCTCTCTCGCGGGGGGGAGGGGAGGAGTTGGGAGGTCGAGTTCTTGTTTTCGGCGTTGCTACTGCTTAGTTAATGCGGTTCTCCGTGGGTTTCTGGGGCTCCAGGGACATGCGAAGACCTCTGGGGTCCTCTTCCCTCTCTTCCTGCTCTTCCTCCTCCTTTTTTCTGCTCCTCTTCCTCCTCATGCCATTTCTGTTGCTGGGTGGTGGACAGCGAACTCGCGTGCAGGACTTTTTTGATTTTCCTCATCCCTCCTCTCCGTGGCCGTGTTTATCGATATCGTTTACACTATATACAAAGGTTTGAAGCACTGGCGATGTTCACGCAGCCGCATTGCCTATGGTGGCCGCGACAATCCAGCAACTGATCCGACGCCACTGGGATATTGAGGATCCCATTGGGCAATTGCCCGAGACGTGACTCTGTATGCGGGCGGCGCCCCTTGTAGTGACGTGTATTCGGTGGGCCTTGATGGATAGCCCCCCCGAGAAGCAACGGTTCTCGCTTGCCCCTGAACGGGATTTCTCTTGTCCTTGGTCATGGCCGCCTGGATCCCCTTCTTTTGGGGGCCAGTGTCCTCCTCCTCCTCCTCCCCCTCCCGAAAAGCTGAGAGCTTCAGAGTCCAAGATTTGCCGTTTCGGGCTCTACCTGGGTGTGGTCCTGGGCCTTGGTGGAGAAAGTCGGTCCTGGGATGCTCCTCTGCAATATCTCATGCACCGTTCCAGTTACGTGAAGTCTGTGCTCAGGTCTAGCAGGACAGCTTCACAGGTATAACATTTACTGCCAGCCCGTAGTCCAGCGCACTGTCCAGTTCTTGACCACGAAAGGTATTTGCGTCTCTGTGGAACGAGACGCGCTGCAGCAGTTACCCTGTGCACCGAGGCATTCGATTACGAGCTCGATGCTGTGGGATCTCGAATATTTTGGGAGCAGTTGTGTGGCGTGCAGCTTTTCTCACCATGCCCGTGCTGCCCAATATCGTGCTGCTTAAGTCTAGTGAGTTTACCCGTCTCCGTGGTTTGTTCGATGTATTTGAGTATGATGGTGACTGTATGCTGGCGTACATGACCTCCCCGACGTATCGTGAACCGGCGTTTAGCAGCATGCTGAAGACTTTTGATGCAGCGTTGTCTATTCCATCCGTTCCGTCGCCACGTGCCCTGGACTACAAGGTGAAATTGCTCGCGACCTCGTTCGTCCCTTTCATCCCCTCTCCCCTGCGCCTGCCTTCCATGCCCGTCTGAATTGCGGGGCTTCCATCGCCCCTGCCCAGGCGGACCTGGCCAGACTCGGGTGTGCGCTGATGGGTAGGAAACGTGGCTCGTGCATAGGCCATGTCCCGCCGTTTTTGCAATGGGCGTCAGAGGTGCAGATTTGGATGTCATGCTGCAGGTGGTGATGAGATCCCCCACTGCATGGTGTGCCCGTGCATGTCTCCGACTGCCCGTTCCCCCCTGCCTGCCCTGCCTGCCGATTGGGGCGATGGCCCCTCCGCAGCCTTCGTGCTCGCTTTGGTGAGCGTCGAGGGACGCCTGGGACGTCTCTCCTGTCCTCTTGGTCTTGCTCTTGGCCGCTTCGTCCCCCCCCTCCCCCCCAAGTCTGGACATACTCCTCCTCCTCCCCTTCTCCTCCCACCTCCTCCTCCTACCTCCTCCTCCATTCCTCAACTCCCCCTCCTTCTCCTCCTCCTCGTCTCCTCCTCCTCCTCCGCCTCCTCCTCCGCCCTCTTCCCCCTCCTCCTCCTCCTCCTCCTCCTCCGCCTCCTCCTCCTCCTCCTCCTGCCTCCGCCTCCTCCCCTCCTCCTCCTCCTCCTCCACCTCCTCCTCCTTCCGCCTCTTCCTCCTTTCCTCCGCAGCCATTTTGGCTCGAACCGTTTTGGCTCGAGCCGCTTCTGCTCGGGACCATAGCGGGATCAAGCCGCCGCGGTGCAACATCTGTTCAGGATGCTAGACATCCGTCGAGGGTCTCGAGAAGGCACTGTTCCCCGCGAAGCGGTAATCAAATGGCCCCCTCGCTGCCCTTCGTGGCCCCGTTGCAGCCCTTCGTGGCCCCCGTTGCAGCCCTTCGTGGCCCAGTTGCAGCCCTTCGTGGCCCCATATATGTACGCATCTCGTGGCCCCCCGCTCGTTCGCGCCCGCCGTGGCGTCGTATGCATGCCCTTCGTGGCCCCGCTGTCGCCCTTCGTGACCCCCCTCGCTGCCCTTCGTGGCCCCGTTGCTGCCCTCAGTGGCCCCGTCCTTGCCCTCCGCGGCCCAATTTGCGTATGCCGTTCGTGGCCCCCGGTCGTTCACGCTTGTCGTGGCCCCATGCGCGTGCCCTCCGTGGCCCCGCTGTCGCCCTTTGTGGCCCCCATCGCTGTCCTACGCGGCCCAGTTGCTACCCTCAGTGGCCCCATCGTGCTTTTGTGGCCCCGAATAATCTGCCCTTCGTGGCCCCGCTCGTTCGCGCTCTTCGTGGCCCCATACGCATTCCCTTCGTGTCCCCGCTGTCGCCATTCGTGGCCTACTTCGTGCCTTCGTGGACCTGCTGTCGTTCTCTCTCTCTCTCGCTCTCGCTTTCGCTCGTCGTCGCCGTCGCCGTCGTGAACGTCGTCGTCGTCGTCGTCGTGGTCGGTCCCCTGTCCGTCCCTCTCGGGGTCGGGTTGCCGCCGATCAGCGCTGCCGCTGGCGAGGCCGACGGTCCGCGGCCGCCCCGCCGCTTGCCAGGGCCCGGCCTGCAGGGAAGAAATGTTTACCCCCCAAAATGGGTACGATCGAGGACGAAGAGGGCGGGTATCGAGGGTTTGGGAAATACGCGTTAACGGACACTCGAGCAGATAAGAGCGAACAGTCTTAGACATAGTGTTGTTGGTGTTGTTGTGCCACTATCATCGCTGGTCTACCATCACCGTTTCCACTACGATAGAGGGAAACAATTAGTGAACACCCCCCCTGCCCCCCAAACTCAAGGTTGGCACGCGCGGGGGAGACTGCGGTCGAGGTGCAACTCATCAGACCCACCGCCAACTTTGAACACTGGAGGGAGGGGGAGGCGTTCACAGATGAATGTGTCAGCAACACAGTCCAAGAGGGTCCCAGAAGAGTCCAAGATGCCCCGAGGCGGCTCCAGACGAAAGGCAACGCTCACCGATCCCCTTTTGAGTTGTTCGATGGCTTCACATTCTCGCCGCCTCGGGCTCCGACCAGCCCGCGACGGCCCGGGGGCCCTCCCAGAGCGCCCCAAGGCTGCCCAGAGGCTCCCGAGACCTCGCGTGGCTCCCCCAGCGACCGCCTGGGGCCCTCTAGAGCCGTTCGGCCAGATTGTTTAGGACTCTTTGG